GTGTGTGTGTGTGTGTGTGTGTGTGTGTGTGTGTGTGTGTGTGTGAGAGTGCGCGTGCGTGTGCGTATACGTGTGCGTGTGCGGGCCCGAGCGCGCGTATGTGCGTATGTGAGTGCGTGTGTGTGTGCGTCAGTGCGTGAGTACGTGTGTGGATACATACGTACCTAGTGCGCTCGTGCATTCAAGCGGACCAAGCGTAATGTACCCAGCCTCCCCCGTGCCTGATGTACCGCCAAGCCATAGCTGCATGACGGGAAGTTTCGTCTTGTCGGTAAGATAACCCGAGTCCTCTTGCCAGAGGAATCGTTGATTGACGTCGCAGTTGCACGCCAACTCGGGCTGCGTGCAGTTCGGATAGCAGCCGCACGTGTGATTGCGGGTGGCGCCGCCCCAGTAATACTGCGGCTGCAGATCGCGCGATATCCACCACGAGACGGCTCTGTCGTCGAAGCCGAACGCAGCGCCCTCGCACTCCCAGCGCACGAACTGACGACAGCTGTCGGCGTCGGCTATCAGCGCCTCCAGCTGGATGGCCGTGATGCCGACGTAGGAGACGTTTCTGCGATGGCCGCCGGGGCCGATGACGTGCGAGCGCACGTACGTTCGCTCCTCGCTATCGTGATGAATCAACGTCCACGCCGTCACGCTGTCGTCGTCCTGTCGCTGGAAGTCGCAGTTGACCGGAAACGGATCGACGTCGCCGGCCGATCCGTCGATGTCGATCGTGTACGTTCCGGACGGGACGTGCTTCCGCGAGTTGTAAACGTCGCTGCATGAGAGATAGCCGGCATCGCACAGCTGCTTGCGCTCTTTTATAGCCAACACGTCCGTCGTTATTGATTCTGGAACGCATAAAACGGTGCACTGCTTGCGGCGACTTTAGGAGAACTAATATAATTACTAGCTCTAAAGTGGTTTTTAAAGCAAAGCAAAGTAAAAGAGAAGAAGAGAATTTTTTCTCAAGCACGTGCCTATTTTTGCCCCGTAATAACAAGAACAGAACAGATTACATATTAACATTTTCTGCCAAAACTCGTTTACGATTATAATACAAGTTTACTAACCAGGTGTGCTCGTAATGTGCACGCAGGTGTCGTTGTACTGCATGATTCAATTACATAATACATGTGCTCATGACATCTACTAATGAAGTAAACACTCACAATTTCTCCCTGCTTTATTATCATTTAAAATGTAAAGTCCTCTTATAAAAATTGTCGACCGTACATATTAAACAAGTGCAATTTGGCCGAAAGTGTGCGCAATCGACTAAATTGTATGACCCGTAATATATTGCGCGCTGCATTTACAATAACGTACAGCTGGTTTATATAGTTTCGTTTTTCAGCAAGCGGATTGCCGTATAAACCGTCAGTGTTTTTCTTATTTATGATTATTTCCATTTAATAGCAGTCAATGCCATCGACTCCTGACATTCTCTCGAAACAAGGAATGATGTATATTTCATCACGCGTGGGCCCGAGAAACCCCAAGTAACGGTTTCACAATGTTTCACAATGTTTCACAATGTTTCACAGTGTTTCACAGTGTTCACAATGACTCATAAGTTCACAATGATTAGACGCACGTTGGCAATATATATATAGTCGCTGTCGTTAACATTGAATAGTTATCAGAGATGGCATAAAGTACACACGTGTACACAGTCGGGAGTAGTGTATTTTTAACGCATCCTCAAGTAAAGGCGGCGTTGTATCAGCCGCCAACTTAAAACAGGAGTTACCACAATTCTCGGGCTCATCTTCTGCATACTCTCCGGCGCAGTCAACGTATCCATCACAAAATGCATGTGCCGGTATGCACGTGCTATCGAAGCATTGGAATGTTTCCTGTGGCTTGCATCGTCCTGGAAGATGAAAGAAATTTAAACAACGCGATAAATTGTCATTTCAATTGGCAGTAGTATCTCGTCATACTCTAAACGTTTCATACACGTTGACATTTTAATAATTTTTGCCAAGAACCCGAAAAAAGGTGCCACGCTATTTGGTGCTCATGCGGTCTTGGGCTGCACTCCGCTTGTTCTCCGCAATTTCACAGACGGGTGCATGTGGTGACGCCTGTATGTTGGAGAGAATCGTATTGCACAGCATTGGATGTGACAGGAGATAGAGAAAAACGACGCCTAGTTCACTCTACAGACCGGCGCATCCCTCCTCGTCACTGCCATCGCTACAGTCCGGGGTGAGGTCGCAGACTTTATCCCGCGGGACACACTGTCCGTTGTTGCAGTTGAATTCGGATTCTGAACAATTTCTGTGCACTAAAAAGACATGTCGATCAATAGCATCGAATAGACGAAGTTTAGAATGATTGCGTGATTCGTAGATATTCGTAAACCCTGCTGTGCGAGTTCGTAATTTGAACGATGTAATATTTTTTTTATCAATTACGACAATCAAGAATTTCTGTCGAGGAAAATGTTAAAATGCACGTATCATAAGGCTAAGAATAGAGATATGGTGTGTATATAGTGTGAAAATAAACTTACCACAGTTGACTTCATCTGAACCATCTTGGCAATCTTCCACAAAATCACAGTAGCGGGAAAGTGACGTGCAATCACCATTCTGACACGTGAAACTGTCAGGAGGGCATTTGCTTCCTAAACAGAACAAATTGAAATGTAAGCAACATCTATTAATAATGCTTATTTAACCCATCAGAAGGTTATAATGAAATTGTGAAAACGGTCGGATATCTAATTTGTAACACACACATATCTTACTGTGCAACTGAGTGCATTGCGTGAGCGGAGACTAATCAAGGAATAAAGAACGGGAATTTAAAACTAGATAAAATTATTTAAACTAGATTAAGTCGGCTTCATTAAATTCAATATCAAACCGAGTTAATAATTCGATGTTAATTGCAAGAGGAAATCAACCAGCTTTAGTTACAAATAATGCTTGTATTCACAAAACGATACAACCGAGTACAATGTCTCCGCCTACCACACTGCTGTTCATCACTGCCATCTCTGCAATCGGACACGGAGTCGCACACGTATATTCTAGATATACATTCTTGATTGTCGCATGTGAAATACAGTACAGGGTCGCAAGGTAGCTCAGCGTCTGGAGCGAATGCAGGATAGATATTCTGTTCATGAAGTCCTACAATTGGGGGTTCTGTAACAAACGATGCATGCCGTGACTCTCTTGAGTTTCATCCACTGGCTATTCATTCCCACCCAGTCCGTTCTAAAACGGCATATGTCAAAACGACATTTTTTGTTTAGGTACATCGGTATTCGACATACAAGATGCTCTCGTCTGAATAAATACACATTCTCAGCATGGTGATATACTTGTGAACTTTTTCCTGTTTTTCACACGAATCTAATTAGGTATTTGTTGTTGTTCCCTTATACTCGGTCATTCAGGGATGCATGAGGCGTGCGTGAAACGACGAAAAAATGTAGAACTAGCTTATTTGTACAACTTATTCGAGAGCGAAACTCATTTTAGTGTTTTTTTTGCGGGAGATACGGTTACGAAGGATGTAAGAACTTACCGTATACTCTACTAGCCGTTTTGCAAACGTAGTAGGTGATGGTGTTCAATGAACAAGGGATGTCGTGCCAAGTGGCAGTGGAGTGACGACTGCGGAGACGGATTATGGTACAGGCTTCATACTCCCCGCCGTTTGGCTGCAGTGCATCCTGGGTAATGCCGCTACTGCAACACCAGTCTGCGTAACTGAAAGGATTACCATCTGTCCATCGAAAATGGGTCTCCTTATTCTCATCAGAGAGGCCTGCAAAATGAAAATGTCTCACGTGCCATTATAAGCTTCACGTGAGAAATGTTGGCAAGTTCTTGCCGTATCGATATTTCTTAGTCAGTTAGGAATATGCTGTGTCAAAATATAAGTATTATTATTAAGGTCAAACGTATGCCGTGTACACATTAAGTGTGTCGCTAATCTGTTGATATAAAGCATATACGGAATAAAAGTATTCTTATTTGACTGTGGTCAAAGTTGCACATTATTACAAGGACAAGCTTACCTATATAGACATCCTCATTTACGTTCATATTCCAGACAGCGGTCAAGAAATAATGGATCACCGACATTTCCTCTCTGTCTAGAATACTCACGAGATGACCCTTCAAGTTAATGCACTCGGTTTCGGCGCTGTACCAAGTTAACGGGTGCGGATGTTGAAAGATTTTATAGCAGTGATTCTTGTAGTACTGCCAACCCTCTTGGCAGTCGTTCGTATCTAAAACATAACATTGCACTCTGCTAAATTAATCGGGCTATACGCTGGATAAATATACGCTCGTGTCGCCGGTAATTGATACACAAGCATCGCATTTCGTGATGATTTATTAACGATATAAAATTTGCGAACCATCACCGCTCGTTTTTAATTTTCGCTTTTATACTCACAGTTTGAACTTAGCTTCGAAGGCGGCGCCTCGCATTTGTATTCCTCCGATGTGTATCGAAATAGGAAGCCTCTGGCGACATCCTCGGAGCTGGTCGAAAACTCGATCGTGAGAGAATTCCAGCTGGACATGACAACATTTGGAGGCTTGTTATGGTTGCAGAAGCGGCCAATCAAAGCATCCCGATTGACGGTCCTGCCGTCGTACAGTTCCACGTAGTCCGTCAAGCAGCCGTCTTCTCCAACGACGTCAAACTCCTTGATTTCTAGCCGCACATAGCGACTCTCGCTGACGTCGATATGCCAGCGACAACGATAGTTGTTGTCGTAAGGTAGAGGATAATTGATTGAGGCAATGACTCCACAGTCAAAGGTACATCTCAAACCGTTTCCACACGATTGAAATCCCATACCACAGCCAGGGCAGTCTGTGAAAAATTTTGCTGACATGTAATGATTGAAAATCATCATCATCATCATCATCATCATCATCATCATCATCATCATCATCATCATCATCATCATCATCATCATCATCATCATCATCATCATAATCATCATCATCATAATCATCATCATCGTGTCGTCGTCGTCGTCGTAGTCGTCGTCGTTGTTATATATGACATACAATAAAACTCATAATTCTATTATCTTTCGAAGAAGCAGGTATTACAATTGCCGGGCGAGAGAACAAGAAATTGGAAAAATTACAAAGTCACGAATATCGTTTTTACCTCACAATTAAAGAGATAGTTTACTCTAGGTTCTAGGGTTATTTTCAGTTAATTTAGGTTAAAATTACGCTACATAAAAAGTTTCATGGTTCAATCACCATTAGAAATATTATTAGAAGTTGTTTTAAAATTTACGACTACAGTTTGATTACAATGACGGTGGCGCTACTCAAAGCGCACGATCTGATAAGTTGCGCAAATCCACTTTCCAGCCAAGGGCTACAAACCCAGGGTGTTTCTTATTTATTAATTTAAAAGCAAAAGGATTGTAATATCTTATAAACGACATATAGTTTCAGTTATATTATGGATAAATTTGTCCTAAAATGAACATCGTTCGGTTAAATAGCATTTAGGTATGAATATAAGTGCACCTTTGTGATTAGCCCTCGGTCTGTAACGTGCAAAATAAATTGGCAAATACGCAACTTTTTTGGGGTTGCCGGCCGGTTGGGGGTTTTCTTGGGGCGTTTCAATTTTGTTGGGTTTGTTTTTTATTTATTTTTACCATTCAATTTGTTTTTTTGTTACCAATTCGTGTGGGTATAGACGATTTGTTATACAGTAAATACAGTTATATGCAGTACAATCCTAGAGTCTACAATCCCTTTAAGTAAGCATGCCTTACCCGTAAAGGTATAGTTGAGATAGAAGCCTTGAAATCTGCTGATGCTGTATCTGAAGCAGGACTCTAGCTGAACTGTTAATACTCCAGTGGATACAAATTTCTTCGGAAAACTGATTCCGTTTCCCGATCTGACTAGTTGCGCCATCGGAAGCGAGGAAGAGCCGTAGTACACAGATAGAAGATCCTGGCAGAGTCCGCCCTTCTGCACAGGTTCCGGTGTAGCTATGTCAAATGTTACGATTTCCGCTTCTACGTTTTTCCCCGTGGGAGGCGTGATGATCCAAGTGCAATTTTTCTGCTGTCCATAATACAGAGGGTAGCTGGGTGATTTTATTGAGCCTTCCGTATTTAGATGAACCTGGCAACGTTCTGTATTAAATAGACGAATAACCAAAATTATAAAACGTATAAGAATGTTGCTATCGTTCTCGATTGAAGATGTTCTGCACTGTGTTTCCCTTTGAATTATAATTTTAACAGCCAGAGTGTGTGAGTATCAGCAAGCGCGCTCTCAGTTCTTTCATTATCTTAATTAACTGTTTCTAATGAAATTTTAGATGAGAAAACTAATTGGTACTTTCACGCGCTTGATATATAATAACTCATTCATGCATACAGCTCAATAGATAGGTACCATCTGCTCGACAACCTAGAAGTTCGACACGCATGCACGGCCGCTCTTCAAAGTCGAGAATCTTTATAATGACGTAACGACTGACGATTGGCTGCAGCATATTGTAGCGATAGGGAACATCGTTGAGGATGATGTCACCATCCTCTTTCTTGTCCACAACCATACACGCACTGCACTCATACACCTGCAAAATAGAGATAATACCTGTAGATTATCACACGCGGGTTATGCATGTGGACTGCTGAATTGTCCGCTTTGATCAAAAGCACACATTGCATTGTTAAGGTCGGTAAGTTGGTAGTTGGATGTGTCAGAGAAGGCCAATGCAACAGACGAATAATACCAAGAGCTGATAATACATGTATTCTTAAATCTTAATAATACTCTGAACAATAGATGAGTAACCGTCCTACTTGTTACGACACAATAACGAAAAACCTTAGTGTAATGTCATTTCTATACCTTTTTCTGTCCTACAGGCTGTTCTTCGTATATCCATCTGAGGCTGTCATTGCTGAAGCCCATCATGAACTTTGTGACAAGAATGTTTTTTGAAGCCAGTGGCATGCCTTGCATGATGATGCCCGTGATAGTGGTGGCGTTCAGTAGATCAACCTACCAGTACGAGTAGTAATGGTAATACTAGCCAATAGCATTATATTATACAAAGTTTGTTTATATATGCGACCACAGATATTAATGTTGATTGTCAAAAGACAATGTATAATTACAGTGTGTATTACAATGAATGTGTAGCATGCACTTGCTGCCGTTGTGCTGGAAAAGTACCATGTTCAGCTAATAGCTATACGATCATATACAATGTAATCAAGAGCTAATAAATACCTAATAAATAGCGAATAAGAAGATATTTATTAGCTCTTGATGAAATGTATAGGCACATCTACTGTCATTTGCCTCTAAGGAATTCAGAGCAGCGCTTAAGTGGAATTGTAAACCTTATAGACGCTTTTATGTCTTACATCTGAAGGAAATAATGACATGTGATAAAATGGGCAGTAATTTATTCATATGTGCGTGCGTGCAGCTGAATTCTTAAGGCGTGCTACACTGTATATCACATTGACTAAGAGCAGGCAGTTCGACGAATCCCCAAGCCGAATTCCTATGCTCCATTAATTCTCCTAACTATCATGGGCATTTCACCTCTCTATGATTACTATGACCGTGTATATAGAATTCATAAATACAGCGCATGAGTGTGGGTTATGCCATTAATTGCTACGGGTTTACACTAGGCAGCCAAGCTCCATTACAGTGGTGCTAGATGGCTGAGTCATTAATATCGGTATTCCCTAAACGGCAGCTATATAAATAGACAACTGTATTGACATGCTTGGTGCCTATCTATTTCATATACTGGGATTAAACATAGGTTCCTTTAGCTTCCGAAGGCTTTTCAAATAATATCTCCAATTATTTCCACAGCGTGTCATATCCTCGCTTTGCCCAAACCGGAGAGGTTTCCGGCTCATTTCCTTCTCTGCTTGTGCAGGCTTCCTTCGATGCCCAGTGCTTAGTAGTGATCTGTGCATAATCTATGCCGACTGTAAGCCAAAGCTGGCTAATTAAGGCTACAGGATCAATTTTGGACACACTCCTATTGCAGAGACTATGTTCGTTCTTCCTGTTCCAGTTATGTGCTACCTGCCTGATCGACCCACGCATTGTGCATGCACATAAAATGCGCGATCGAAATTTTTATAGAATAAACTCGATATTATCAGGAGTGTATAATATAGAGCTAATAATAAATATCTATAAATATATAATATACATATATTGATATTATATATATTATACACTCCTGATATTATCCCCCACAACTATAGCTGACAAAGTGAGCTACAATTATGTTAGTACGGCACGGCATCGCAGCCTGTTCGACGCACCTGTAGATATCGCTTGCTATCGTTGGCCTCGGCGCACCAAGCGTAGTTGCGATTCAGGCGTGCATTGATGTAATACCGGTCCGGCGTCGAATTAGAAGATGCTTGCAACTGAGAGTCGTAGATCTCTTCGGCAGCCATACCCAGTGGCTGCCCACATAATTCTGAAATGCACATTTAGAATTCAACACAGTAGCAGTGTTAATTTACTCAATTCCGATGAGATTTCATTGTGTATGGAATTTAATAAGCAATTGAAAACGCTTAGCTTGCTCTAATCGCGACAATGTAAATAACGCGAATTTATTAAATATTTAATAAGTATTTTATACCCTGATTTTCTATTGAAATGTAATGAATAGTCACATTACCAACTCGATTAAATCAGAGAGTGAACTAATCTTACACAGTGAAGCGATACCGAGGACGAAGCAACCACCGAGGGATTAGTTTAAAACCATTAGCATTCGGTTACACGCATGTTGTGAAAAAACTATGCTTCCGTAATTATTTTTCTTTTTAATATAGTCACATTAACAAATCTTTCCAACGAATACGAACGAAAATAAAATAATATCTAATTCCATGTTAGATACGCGTAATCGAGTCGTTCTATTATTCATGATATTGTGATTTTACCATCGATAGTATTATAATAATGTTTGCTGACCAAATTTATGATAACAAATATCCACATCGCTCCCCGAGCATCGGCCAAATATTAAATATGATGCGTCATAAATATCTGCTTGCCGAAAGATTTTACAAGCGTATATACGCGAGAGCATTTTACTACACACACTCACACACAACGTACCATCGTAGGTACACGCATGTCATTGCAAGCAAACGCACACTCGCACGCACGCGCGCACACATGCGCGTACGTACGCGTGTACACATACATCAGTAAAAAACGCACACGCGCACGCGTGCGCGCACACGTGCGCCTACGTACACGTGTGCACATACATCAGTAAAAAACGCACACCCGCACGCACGCGCACACGTGCGCCTACATACGCGTGTACACATACATTAGTAAAAAACGCACACCCGCACGCACGCGCACACGTACTCGTGTGCACATACATCATTAAAAAAGCGCACATCGGCACGCACGTAGACGACACAGTCCGACACGCGTGAGATGTGTGACGCAGATATCACAGAGAACGCCGATGGTTGAAAAACATTTCAATGCTTGGTTAAAACTGACGTTTTCAGAAATATATATTTGGATTCATGACTAGTCGGCATGCGAAGTTGAATGGATGTTTATCTTCCATTGACTGAGTGTTTTCTCAGCTTCTTATGCCAACATGCCACCGCTGTACGTCGGTAGGCGAGCCAGGAAAGCACCAGCTGCCTAATTGCAAAACAATTGCTGAATCGAACAGATAGCTATATACGACTGCTGAACTCGAATCCATAGGCGAATATTAATTGTAAACCGCTTTAATTTATAGCTATCTATCTATCTGGACCATGATCTATTACACTGCAAAGATATTTTCCAAATATTCACATTTCGTGCCATATTCACATATGCTATTTAACACAAGAATTGCCATTTGCTTTCATAAGGATAAGAATTCTGTGATGGAGTCACCTTTGCTTTCCTGTGGTACTCAGGAATGATGGAATATCTTAGATGGGGAGAATAGAGAACTGGATACGAAGTGAATGCGCGAGTAATTACCTGCAACATATATATATATATATATATATATATATATATATATATATATAAACAAGTATCAGCAGACTAATGATGTTGCTTAACTTCTTTGGCTGTACTTGTTTCACATTCCAGCAACAATAAGCATGACTGACCATCTGCCTTTCAAAAAATCCTATACTATATCTAATCTGTGAGGATGACTACACGCATGATTCTATATTTCAGCCGAAGATAAAGATGCAAACGCAAGAGGAATCGAGGACAAATATAAATTACGTTCACATCATTTACTCCATGCATGTATGCAGTAAATAATTATAAGTACTATATAAATAAGCTATATAAATAAGCAGAGCGTTTGCGCTCCAAATGGACAACAAATGCGTTTTTTTTATCACACTTACGTTTTCCATACACTTTGACGTCGCAGAGTTTTAGCAGGTCGTCTCTACCATAGATATAAATAGTGACAAACTGTCCAATAAGCGGCTGCGTGCAATTACGTCTCAGAGTCTGGAAGAGCGGCTGCGTCACATGGTACTCAAAACAGGTGTAGCTCTGCGTGAACTTCCCCTCTTTGAAATACGGCAATCCGTTGTCGTAGTAATCCGGCGACCGCTGATCGACGAGTCCGTTTCCATCCACTAACACGCGAAAGCCCAGCAACTTCTGGTCTACAATTAATAACGACAGCAGAGTGGACATAGTAATCGCACTTGAAACGATCATGAAAGCTTCGTAAGCCGTGTGATCTATACGAGCTTTTCAAAACTCCAAGCAACTTAACCAACGTCATTACGACAAGAACAAACAAGCACCGAACAGACATAATCACCGCGTTTTACCGTCACACGCTCCGCCGCTGTCGCCTAGTAATACTCGCGTAGGTACTCACGGATCTCGTAGTAGCAGTAGTGTATCAAAAGGTCGCCTTCGAACGTTTTCAGATCGACGGATGGATGCGGCTCCTTGAGAAGCGCTCGCAGGTACTCGTCCGTCCTATTCAGCTTGTCTTCGGCGATGCGCACGAAGTGCTTGATAGAGATCATGTCGCGCACGATCTGACATTCCTTGCCGTGACGAAACAGATAGAACGGCCGAGCCGTCGGCAGCTCAATGGCCACGTGCACGATGCCGTCGCTGCGGCAGCAGAAGCGAAACTGCGTGTTCTCGTCGTATTTTCCCGTCGGGACGTGACCGCCGACGTCGTTGCGATTGTCTACTCGTCTGTCGATCATCTGCATGGAGCCGCTTCGGAAGCCGACAGGACACGCCTCTCCGATCTGGTAGATGCAGTATTCTCCGGCAGGCCACTCGCGGCCCACCGCCTTGTTCATCTTGACGCAAAAGCTGTGTCGAAGACCGCCAAGTCCTAGCGGACCTTGCAGCTTGATGTCGGGCGACCAGTCTTTTATCTTGCCGTCGTAACTAGCTTTGTAGATGAGACTTTGGAAGCGGTATCCTGTTTTCCACGCGAACGCGCTTGAGGCGGGACATCCAGAGCGGGCCATCGGCAGCGCGTATTCACCAGCTGGCCAGCCAATCTGCTTCTTAACCTAAACAGTTAACAATACCGCTATTTCATTCTGAGGTCTCGACGATTTTTGTTTGACGTTGAATCGGAATGACAATATACAAGGAATAATTATTTATTTAATAGATACTCAATTATTGGTTCAGCATTGTCTTATCTGTATAAGAATAAGCTCCCATATTAATCTAAGTAAATACTACAACAATAGCAACAATATCAAATAATAATA